ACAACGTATGGTGGTGAATAAGTGTGACTTTTCATGGAAAACCCAAAATTGTTTGGGTGACCCCAAACTTTTGAACGGTAGTGTATGTTTGGCACTAGACATCCCCCAAAGAACACCATATCATGCAGCATCATGCTTTGGGACTGTTTTTCTTCAGCTGGAAGCGGGGCCTTATTCAAGGTAAAGGGAATTATGAACAGTTCCAAATATCAGTCAATTTTGGCACAAAACCTTCAGGCTTCCGTTAGAAAGCTGAAGATGAAGAGGAATTTCACCTTTCAGCACGACAACGATCCAAAGCATACATCCAAATCAACAGAAGCGTGGCTTCACCAACGTTTTGGAATGGCCCAGCCAAAGCCCAGACCTGAATCCAGTTGAACATCTGTGGAGTGATCTGAAGAGGGCTGTGCACAGGAGATGCCCTCGCAATCTGACAGATTTAGAGCACTTTTGCAAAGAAGAGTGGGCAAGTATTGCCAAGTCAAGATGTGCCATGCTAATAGACTCCTACCCAAAATGACTGAGTACTGTTATAAAATCAAAAGGTGCTTCAACCTAGGGGTGTGTAGACTTTCTATATCCACTGTATGTGCATTTGTAGATGCAGTATTTTGGTAGTTTGGTTTAACGTATCAATAAAACCATAAACTGGAAGGCTCTTTTAGTAAAAATGGATGTGGCGATATTTTATTCCTCTTTTTTTCTGTTGGCATGTAGGTTTGAGAAGATGATCAGCGGCATGTACATGGGGGAACTGGTGCGTCTCATCCTGGTGAGGATGACCAAAGAGCGGCTGCTTTTCCAGGGCAAGACTACAGCAGAGCTCCTCACCACTGGAAGCTTCAACACAAGCTACATCTATGCCATTGATAATGAAAAGTTAGTGCGTGTGTGTGTGTGTGTGTGAGAGTGTGATTGAGAAACTGAGATGCAGTGATGATGGTACAGCGGTATTGTAAGCAGCAAAAAAACTTGTTTCCAGTGAACTAAAGAACAGCAAAACGTCTCAAGCTCACAAAATAGTTCAGTGGGTTGTTTAACTTTGACCTGAAATCGTATCATCTGGATGAACGAGACAACTCTATCCGCATGTGTTAGCCAGGCTGGTAATCACTGACTAATCTAAGTATGCAAAGAACATACTCACCAAATGTTTTCTGTCATTTATGTCTCATATGCAAGGGCAGAATATACATTTGCCTTACATTTGAAATTATATCATCTTACTTACATCTTACTGCCAGGTCATGTCATGCATACAAGCAGAATAATGAGCAAAACAAACATGTATTGTATCACAGAGTTTGTTAGGCGATTAGTTGTTGAAATTGTAGTGTAGTGTCACTGAAGTTATAGTGAATGTGATTTGTGTTTTGCTTTACCTGCAGAGATGAAGAAGGTCTGGCGAGCGCTGAAAAGGTGCTCCGAGGCCTGAGCTTGGATCCGTCGGTTGAGGACTGCATAGCCACTCAGAGGGTGTGTCAGATAGTATCTACACGGGCTGCACACTTGTGTGCCGCCACTCTAGTGGCAGTGCTGCGGCAGATCCGGGATAACAAGGCTGCTGAGAAGCTGCGTACCACTATTGGCGTGGATGGCTCTGTTTACAAGAATCATCAAGAGTAAGTGTTCCTGAACACCATCACTTCACTTGCAAAAAAAAAATTCTTTCAGCTAAATTGCCAAGTTGACTTTGCATTTAAGCAATTTCCATGTTTCCCTGCCTGTCTGTTTACCTGTATCAACTGGGAAACTGATATTTGGCTAAATAAACAGCTTTGTAATGTTGTTTGCTTTGTCCGAAATGCATTTGGGACCTGTTACTTGTTAAAAGTCCCCTACCCCCCTCCCTTGTATTATGTCTGATTTGTCACAAAGACAAGTTTTAATTAAAGCCTCTTGTATTCTTACTGAAAGTGAATGTTGGTTGACTGGAGGACCACACAGATTTTAGTGTAGTTAACAATCAGTAAGCCCTCAGCTAAGACCTTTAAACCTACCAAGTAGGCTGTTGTGTTGTCACATGGAATGTTGTTTACATCAGTAGGTTCCTTGAGAGGGTTCCAGGATATCCCCAGCAAAAAGGAATCATTTATTAGTGTGCCTGCAAAGCACACTACTATTCTTCCTCGGGCTTATTATTATTATTCTTCCGTACGTTTTTCGGCGCGCTACTCCTCCCGCAGCTTTGATCGCACATACACAAAA